TGATGATCTACAGAGTTTTTATTTTTTTGGTTTTAAGCATTCACTTTGAACCTGTCATATTTTCCCATTTTGAGTATTGTGGGTGTATGAATTTACTCTTCATTTTTGTTGTTTTCAAATTTCAAAATGTAGTTCACTAGCTTATAGTTTACTTCTTGGTTGTCAGGAAAAACTGACCACGTAAGAGGCAAAGCGCACTTTTAATCCGAAACTGAGTTTCTGAATTCACTCTGAGATATCAACAAGTTCTGCGGAAAGAGATGCAGGTAAGTTATCTTTGGCTTTCTTTTACAACTTTTGTGATAGTTGAGATGAATCCTGATTGCTACGGTGCTGTTCAGAGGTTTAATCATATTATATCTGGTCATATGGGAAAGGACACGTTTATTATTTTCGCCTTTGTTATAAAGTAAGGTTTCTATCAATAAATTGCTGTTAAAGAGGATGTAATTCCATTGGGCGTGCTGAGAAGAAGACTTGTAAAATCCGTCAAATGAGATGATGTATTGCAAAGAGTCTGGAATTAGAGATACCATTTATGTGATATTATGGAATATTCTTTTGTTGTATAAAATAGATTTCCTTTTAACCTTATATAAACTGTGCAGAGAGATTGTAATCTAACTTGTTATTTACTTGTTGAAAAATTTGCTTGGTCAGAAGCATGTATACTTTATTGACTTGTACCTAATACATTATATACTGACGTTGAGTAGAGATATCTGTTCACTGATTCACCCTTTATTTCTATTTGTAGCATTGCTGTTGAGATAAGCTAGAGTCTCTTTGTAGAGAATTACAACGTCAGAACAAGATGCTAATGTATACTTTTCACGATCACTTTTCTTCCCATGGAGTAATTTAAATTCATGAAATTCTCACTTAAGTTAATTTCCCTTACCAATTGGTATGGGAAGTTGTACAGGTCCCATAATCATCCTTCTAGCTATTTATCGGTTCATGGAAATTGATGCTTGCTCACTATTGCGCAGGATGAGTGCAAGCGCGTATCGACAGAGGACAGAACTAGACTAGATTTCAGCCAAGTTTCAAGATGCATCAAGGTTAATTAATGGTCTTCCCTAGTTGAGAATTGGTGAATTATTCTTCACGTCTTGCTTTCTGTCCTGCTTTAACTAGTGCATATAGCTGATAAGCATATGACTGCATGTTCTTCTCAATTTTGTTGTTCATGTTTATTTGAGCATTCATGTGGCATGTGTTCAATGCTCAGTTTATTAACTCTTACCTCTAAAATTAATTGATTAGTTAATTTTTTATCTGTCTCGCAGGTCTAGAGTAATAAGGTGAGAACTCCAATGTCTTGATGCTAACATGAATTGGAGAGTGCCGTACCTTGGTTCTTGAATTTTTTATTTTAATTGGTTTTTCCTATGATGTTTTTTATATTTTTTCACTCTCACGGGGCTTATGGTTCTCTTCATGCTGTTTTTCTCTTTCCATTTACATTTTCTTTTCCAATATGCCATTCTGTAATGTTTGTTTCTTTTTGTTGTAGGATGTTAGCGTTAACGAGAATGAGCAAAAGGATGAGTGTCTTACTCAGCTAAAGGAGAATGAGATTAAGAAACAGAGAATTCAGGCGAAGTTTTCAATTTTATTTTGTTTTTGAATTTATCTCACCCCTATATTTGTCTGACTCTTATTTACTCTTATTTTTATGTCTAGGTTGAGAAATATCTGAAGCAGCTAGCTGATCAGTATGCCCTACGAACAACAATATGACAGAAGTTGTTAGATTAACTTTACTTGTTTATCTGATGTTTTTGACGTAGGCTTCTGATTATTGATTGATGTTATATTGCTGTGGACTTGGATCAGAGTTAAAGCAGAAAACCCTGGAACTTCAGCTTGCTGAATTAAAAATTAAGCAGCATGAAGAGAAACTAGTTCAGGAGCAGTCCCAAATGAATTATATGCTGAGCAGTATCCCAATTACTGGCTACCGAAAAGAATTTGCGCTTGCAGTTGACTGCTGACGAGAAAAATTCCAGCAATTCCGTCTACCTCATTGAGTTCATTGCCTTAAAATAATGCATAAAAACCTTACTGACCAACATTTTGATGATAGTTGCATAGGAGACATTCTTTTGTCTCTCTCACCTAGCATTCTAAATACTCTATAAAATAATAATATGTAATAAGAGCTAAAGGATGTGATTTGGATGTTGGTTACAATTAAATTTAATTGTATTTGGGTGGTTGGATGTGTAACCTTTTTGAAATTTGTCCACATGACTGTATAATGCAGGGTTGGTTTCTGACTTCTTAGCATGGTGCAGAATCATTTTTTCTTTTGAGTTAGAGATGGATTTAATCCAAGTGCTTGTTCAGGTAGTCATGGGATATTGTACCACATTTCACATTAATTCAATTTAGGCATGGTCTCTGGTCTCATTAGTATCTACTGTGCATGTGTAAGCAGTCTCTTAATTAGTAGATATAGTAAAGTTATCAAAGAATTATTGGGTTACTTGTGCCCGAAGTAAATAGCTTGACTCTGCAGGATGCATTGTTAAGAGCAATGAGGTCTTCGAAACATTAAGCAAGAGATTGAAAAGGTAAAATTTTACTTTTTTAAAGATTAGATATAGATTTAAGCTTGGTTTTCATGATTGCATGATGCTATGTACCATTTTTATTTCTTTGTACGGAAACACTAGATGGCAAAATCATCAAGGAACTGAAGAAGGAAAATGTATTCTTGAAGAGCAAATGTGAGAAATCAATGTTACACTTATAGAACTTGTTGAGGAGGTAGTGTTTTTTGCTTTTCTTGATCTTATCTTTCTCTTTTTCCCTTTACTGTAAAGACTGAACCCTGAACACCCCTCCCACCCAAGACCATCTGCCCTCTATATGCTAGGACCATTGGGCTTGGATTTTTAAAAAGTAATTTTTTCCCTTTTAGAATATCTATGCCATATAACACTATCCCTCGTGCTTAAGCTTCATGTAATGAGTGCAGAAATTGTTGGAGAAAACTTCTGTTATCGTTGCCATTGAAGTTTGTTGCACTGATTTTATGCTATTAATTCCTTTTAACGACGACAAGTCTTGTCTGAGGTGGTTCTTCTTGCCACCATCGTTGGTCTTTCTGCATGAACAGGGCAATCATGGACTATTGTTTCTAATTGGTTCGCTGACATACACTATCACATCTTTTTCCTACTTTCCCCCCTGGGTTGAGTTATGCTTATATATCTTATTGTTAAATTATAGTACTTAAAACTCTTCTTTGTCCAACCAGCGTGAGAGAATGAAGAAACAATTGAAAAATCCAAAATCAGAAAGAAAAACTGAATCATTGTGCCGATCACTTCAGGCGGAAAGAGAGAAGCAAATACTGTCGAAGCAACGCTCTGATCGTTCCAGTATAAATCCCAACGGATTGACCGTCTTACAATGAATTTTGTAACTACCATGTATGAATTCTACCATATTTGTCGACTATCTATGACTTCTGCTTGAGATGAAGCATTGGAGATCTGTAACTTGTTTGAATATAAGTCATCTTCAGCAATCATTGTATATTCAGCATTTTTAAGTTTGCTTCTTCACCGTGCTTTCCTTGAACGAGTTAGGTTAAATCGACTTTAGGCATGAATTGATGTGTAATAACAAAGCCAGCCATGCCAGGCTAGCCGATGAGCGCAGTTGAAAGGTTAATTTTCAAAAATATTAGTGCCCGATTCCCATGACTTGCTTTATGCTGAACTGACCTATGAGATTGATTTTTAAATTTCCTTAAAATGTTTATATTAATTAAATTCAAGGTTCAAACTGGACATAGAAGAAGTCAGCAGCAATATAAGTATGAGGTTTTGAACATCTTGCTTGTTTGTCTCAGGTTATATGAAATATCAGATCAAAGAGTGGGGGCATGTCACTGCTTCACGTCTAATGCTTGATATAGGCAACCCATTAGGCATACACATTGTGACAATTGGAATATATAGAACTGAATCATGTGAAATTTTTACAATCCTGGGAATCGGTACTGAGCTTTCGAAATCAGATTTCAAACCTTGGGTGAATTCATTCCCCTGAGAAGCCATTATTACAATAAAGTAAAACTTTTTTTTTTTTTTTACGAGGATGTGGGGTCAATTGTGTGTATCTCAACATCCTCGAAACTTTGAAGTTGACAACCAAGTAAGCCCCGTGGTCACCCCTATTAAAGCCCGTAGGGACTCAAACGGGAGAGCTCAGAATCTTGCTCTTTTATCATCGTATCCAGTGGTGATAATTCAATAAAACACTGTATGGTAACAAAAAAGTAAACGGGCAACTTTGTGAAGGTGATAGTTTATAAAGACAGTGTTCAACTGTAATTTTATTTTTATTTTAGGAGAGAATATCCAGATCAGTTTACGCATCTCAACAATCTTTCAGGATTCTGAAATAACCAGTTTGAAATTCAGTGATTATCCCTATTACAATCGAGAAAAAGACTTGAAATAAGACCTTGAGTAACATACAAGAGTTCTTATCGAATCACTTGCCAGAATTTTACCATCGTCATGAACGTAGGTGAAACGGTCGATCAGGTGCCAAACATCGAGCATCGATTTTAATAACTTCGTAGGGCTGTAGTTTGAAAAATGACTAAATTAAGTAAGTTGGCCCAAAAATAAATTAACCTCTAAAAGTAAAAAAGGATCAAAGAAAAGAAAAAAAAAAAAAAATACGGATCCCCAAACTCTTGAAAACGAGGTGTCTCTGAAAACAGTTTGAGAGGATTTAAAGTACTTGTATATCAATAAAACACACAACAGAACAACTAATAGATTCCATTTGATCCATGAGATACCAGCACAACACACCCTAAACAGAAAAAACACTCCAAGAACCGTCTTATTACTTTTCATTTTTTGCATTTCACCCTCATCTCTATAGGACGAACCCGCCAATCATCGCAATACCGTTATGGTGGAGTTGTTGATACAAGGCGGCAGAACGAACAATGCTCTAATGAAATGTCCTGCATTGGTCTCTCGCTCTTTCAGCCTTTTCCGATGGCTCTTCTCGCCATGTTGCCAAACTTTCATCTCCATCGACCCCCCGGCCCGGATGACAAAACCGCTCTCAGGGTTATTAAGAGACAGTTGCATGGTGATTTTGAAGACTTTTTTTTTGTTGCAGGCTGTGTTCCGGAGGTGTGGTTTCTTTCTCTAGGTGGGACAAATAACAGCATTCGGAAGTGAACTTTACACTGAGTTTCTTGTTTTTTTTTTTGGGGGTGGTGGGGGGGGGGGGGGGGGGGGGGTGGGGGGGCGCGTTTTATTGGTCTCTAGATTTACTGGATTTGGGTTAATTTTTTTACTTTCATGGCGCTGTGCATTTATGCTCTCTCAGTGTAACAGTTGCAAGTATAAGAGGCTCATAAAACAAAACAGTAGTAAAAAGAGAACAAAAAGGTGTGGCCATTTTAGAGCTTGAATCATTCAGTTCAAAGAATTGTTGAAATGTTTGTCTCATTGATTTTAGATATATGTTATAAGCTATAGCAGTAATATTTATATCCTTTTATTCTCAACCGTCTTAGGCGAATAATTTGAAAGATAATGAGTTCTCTATGGAATTGATTGGCCCTGAATCTGGATTTGCACCCAAACATTATGGAATGGACAAGTCTGAAGTTGTTCCAATGTGTGCATTTTCCGAGTCCACACAAGGTAACCATGGTGCTTTTGTTCTGGTATTACTTCTATAGCAGTTCATTAATACGCTTCGCTTACCACAATCTTTTTTTTACCCAGTTTCAGTATTTTTGTGAAGTTTAATTTTCTTTAGTTTAACTATCAGTAGTTCACAGCCACGACCTCTTTAATAGTATCACTTTGTGGGCGAAGACCTCTCTAAACTTTTCAATTTCTTTGGAAGCTATGATAACTTTTAGACTGAATTCCTGTAAACAACACTGACATTAACAAGAATTGTTATACAACTACTCAACCAGATAATGTGATACCAACTTTTTCTCTCATTTCCTCGGTTTCAGTATTTTAATAACCTTCAATAATCCTAGCTGCATCTTCTTGCTAAGCTACAAAATTCAGTTACCATTATCTATAATCACAATGTCTCTTGACAGACTGTACATGAATGCCAATTTTATACCTCCTCCTTTCGAGCACACACATCATTCTATTGGTTCATTCAAAGTTTATGATTGTCTATCTAATTATAATTATCGATTCTGCAACATAAAACTCTTTTTTCTTATATTGTTTGTATTAGGAATTTACACTCTATACAGTTTTTGAGTGCCCCATTAAGATAAATATCAAGACCAAAATTCAGTTTCCCTTTTGGGGTTGTGCATTTTCTTTTTTTCATGTGCATTTGGTCAATGTATTTAATTACTAACTCGCATTGCTTTGATTAACATTTTCTGTTTTTGATGTTTCTTTAAAAGATATTAGAAGTTAAGCTCAAGAATGTACTAGGTGTAAAATCCTTTTGCATTTCAGGGAAGATTTCTTATGAGGGAAACATATTGAAGTTGGACATGAGACCTCTTCATGAAAACATGGAAAACTATGGAAAACTCTGCCGTGAACGAACAAAAAAGTATACGACCAAAAGTAGACAGATACAGGTTCTCTTATTCATTTCTTTGTATTTGTACTGGAACTTCTCATTGGTAATGTACTCAAAAGTTTCCCTTGTTTCTTTGATCTTCTCCTTGTTTTTTTTCAGGTCATTGATAATGACACTGGAAGTCATATGCGACCTATGCCAGGGATGATGATTCCTCTTGGATTTACTGTAATTTTGGCTAACTTTTAATGTTCAACAGAATTGTGTTTTTCTGTTTTTCCTTTTCTCAGCTTTTTTTTCTTCTTCTGAATACATTTGCGACACAGAATATATCTAAAGGGAGCTGCTTTGTTTGCAATAGGAAAAGAAGAAAGCCCCGGCTAAAGCGTCTGAAGTGAAAAGAACAAGAAGGGACCGTGGAGAGATGGAAGATATTATGTTTAAGCTCTTTGAAAGGCAATCCAATTGGACTTTACGACAACTAATTCAAGAGACAGATCAACCTGAAGTATGTATTTTGATCGTTTGATTATGCATAACTTTTAGATGCTGGCTTGAGTTTTTTATGCCATTTACTGTCATTTTAACTAAAAATAAATAAATAACTTTGCGGTATGCCAGCCGTTTAAAATGAACTTTTATTTTTGTTTTTTCAGGATTTTGTTCTGACTTTTATCTTTGCAGCAATTTCTGAAAGACATTCTCAAAGAACTTTGTGTTTACAACAACAAGGGGGATTAAGCCTCAACTGTGACGAATACAAGAAACACGGCGATGAATCAACTCCTAAATAGGTTCTTAGTATGCCTTTGCTTAATTACTTCGTTAAGTTATCGACTCAAGCTACTTTCTTGTCCATAAAATATGTTCTTTTATGTATTTTTCTGTAAACAGTATTCAGGTATATTTTTAAATGCAAAAGAGAAATTTTGAGATACAATTAATGAGTCTTTCTATTTTCTTAGCTTTAATTTTCAAACCCTCGTGGATGGAGGATATTCTTGTTCAAGATCTTTGTGTCCAAATTTTCCAATATATGGTTGAGTAATGCTACATTTACACCATTCATTACACCATTTTCATTACACCATGATATGACATATCCCACATCCACACAAATTTTTAATTATTTTTAATTATTTTGAATTTTTAATATTATAATAAAATAATTATTAGTAAAATGGTGATGATGTAATGAAAATGATGTAGTAGGTGATGTAAATGTAGTATTACTCTATATGGTTGAAGCAAAACTGTTGACATTTGGAATTTCTTTTATATCATGAATCCTAGTTCAGCACCATTATTTTTTATTTTATTTTATCTTATTTTTTGGTCGAGGGTGTCCGAGTCAACTTGACCAAACTCTAAAATTAACGATCGGGTAAATCTCTAATGGCCACCATTATTAGGGGTCGAGATGAATCAAATTCATAATTTCTTGAGTAATATACTCAAGAGTCTTAGTTGATTATTCGACCATCCAATGATGGTTTTAACACCATGCTTGTTTTTATAAATATATGCAGCACTTTTAATTATTTTAGTGGAGATTGTTGAGATTTAACTTAAAAATTAAAAATCTCACATCAATTATGAATTATAGGGCATATTAGGTAATAGAGAACAGAATCTTATCAATAACATTACCCCACTCATTCTAAAGAGTAAAGATTAGGTTCAGGGATAACCTAACCCAAACTCTATGACACATTTAAGATTATATATGACAACATAGTATATGAAAAAAAAAAAATACTTCAAAAATCGCAGAATTAATCCAATCTCTTAAATTTCATAATAATAAAAATTAATATGCCAAGTATATTCTATTGGTTAGATTTTTTGGATGTGGTTCTAGAATCAATTATGTACTACCTTTTTTGTTTTGTTTCAAGTAAAATTGTGGCTCAGGCTGCCCACGCCACGCGCAGAGAGAGACATTAATGGTCATGTTTGGCTCCTCCACCCTGAGTCCTGACCCACCCAAGTCGATGTGACCTGTGATGGTTCCATTTTTATACCCAAAAAAAGAAAATATGATAATATAGTAATAAAAATCAATGTCAATATCATCTCACGATAAAAACAATGGTATGATTCTAGTTCTAGAACATCATCCATGACGTTTATGTAACCAACTATTCAATTTCTTTCATCTCTCCTTTTTTACTATATTTATTAAGTAATAATAGGGTTATTTATCCTACAGCCCCATCTTTTTACATTCCTTCTAAATTTAATAATAAATAGAGTAAACGACATTTTCCCACCCAAGGTTTGGCATATCTGCAAGTTCCCACCATGGTTTCATAAATTGTAGTCTACCCTTAAATTAACACCATTACTTTTCTCTCAAAATAACCCCTATATCTCAAATTTCTCTCAAATAACCCCAAAGGAGATCCTGGCCAAGCCAAAATTGGGTGATTTCGGTACTATTGGACCTCCTAAACATCACCATCACCATCACCATCAGCATCCCCTATCCTCTTCACCAAAAACCCGAACTTTTCCACTCGATTGCACCTCACAAGGTGTCGGAATTTAGTTGGAAAGGCACGACAAAACACAAAAACCTAAGGGAGAGGCTGCGGCGATCGGTCTGCGATGTTGAGGGTTTTTGATTTTTTTTTTTTTTTTGGGGGGGGGGGGGGGGGGGGGGGGGAAGCAGTGTTGCTATTGGTGGTGTTGGGGGTGGTTTTTTATATCGAGACCTGCCAAAATTTGGATGAAATGCCGACTAAAACTAAGAGCGGTGGCTGGCGATTGGGGGGTTCAATCAGGCGAAGAGGTTAGGGGGTTTTAATGTGAGGGTTGAGGGGATTGTAATGGTGGTATCAGGAGGGGTTGACTGTGTCGGCAACAAACCGAATGACCTGAAATCGCCGGTGGGGTGAATTTGAGAACTCAAGGGTTATTTCAAAAAAATGGTGTGGTGAATGTGAGAAGTCAAGGGTTATTTTGAAATGACCATTTTATCCTTTAACTATTGGATTTAACAGTTTTTTTGTTAATTTAAAGGGTGAGAATCAACAATTGATGAAACTATGGGTGGGAACTTGGAGATTGCCAAACCTTGGGTGGGAAAATATCGTTTACTCCCTATAAAATAATGAAATTAGCAGGTGCTCAAAAATTAGATCAAACTATGGGGGTTTGTTGTGAATTACCGGTAATAATATAATGGGTAAATTTCATTTGCTTCAAACGCCTTAATGACTTTTAGGAAACTATAAAAATCTTAGGGGTGTTCAAAGAAATGGTTGGAACTGGAATCGAGGGTACCCAGGGTTTAGTTTCGGTTTCTACCGGAACGCCTGTCAACGGATAGGTTCGGTTCCAAATTTTTGAAACCGGTACTGTGCGGTTTGGTTCCAAATTTTTGGAACCGTTACTGTGCAGTGTCGGTTTCAGTCCTAAGTTAAGAACCAGAACCGGAACACGAAAACTGATTAAATATAAAATAAAATTAAAGAGTAGGGGGGGTTAATAAAAACTTTCGTAAAAAAACTAATGTGAATGCATTTATATATGTTTCATAACATTTAAAGTAAGTTAGTTTGACTTGAGAATCTACCTTTACAAAGTAATAGAGTTGTAATTTAAATTTTAATTGTAATTTTATTTTTATTAACAAGTGTCAGGGGGGGGGTATTTGTAAGTTTTTAAAGGTTTTTTACCATTTTAAAAATTTTGGGGGGGTCATGTAATTTTAAGGTACCCAAACCGAACCGGAACCGTTGTTATAGGTTCGGTTCTGGGTACCTAGGAACTGGAACCATCGGTTCTAGTTTTGGTTCCAATTTCAAGGAACCGTCGGTTCCAGTTCTTTCAAAAAATGTAGGATACCCAGAACCGAACACCCCTAAAAAATCTTTCTATTAGAGGTTCCTTAAAGGTTTTGATAATTTTATAGAAATATTTATTATTTCTCAAAGACATTTTCAAATGCAAAAGAGAAATTTTGAGATACAAACAATGAGTCTTTCTATTTTCTTAGCTTTAATTTTCAAACCCTCGTGGATGGAGGATATTCTTGTTCAAGATCTTTGTGTCCAAATTTTGCAATATATGGTTGAAGCAAAACTGTTGACATTTGCAATTTGTTTTATATCATGAATCCTAGTTCAGCACTATTATGTTTTTTTTTTTGGCCGGGGTTGTATGGGTCAACTTGACTAAGCTCCGAAGTAACAATCGGGTAAGTCTCTAATGACCACCATTATTAGGGACCGAGGTGAATCGAACTCATAATTTCTTGAGTAATATACCCAAGAGTCTTAATTGACCACTCGGTCACCCAATGGTGGTTTCAACACTACTATGTTTGTTTAGGACACTTTTAATTATTTTAGTGGGGATTGTTGAGATTTAACTTCAAAATTAAAAATCTCACATCAATTATGAATTATAGGGCATATTAGGTAATGGAGAACAAAATCTTATCAATAATAATAACACTACGGATACTGAAAAAGTTGTACCGAATTTCTGTACTGGCCAACGTGTAACGCGCGTCTGAATTTTTTTACAATTTTTTTCTAGTGAACGGCCGTCTATCACATTTGGACGGCCGTTCACTCACATGGACGCTCATTCATATTATATAGACGGGCATCCATATACAAGGGACAGACATCCCCATTTAAAGGACGTCCGTCCCTGATTAAAATACGATTAAAAAATTTGTAAAACATTAGGGACGGCCGTCCATCCATTATGGACGATCGTCCATTAATTTTGGACGGACGCCCACAAATAATGGACGCCTGTCCTTCACCCAAATATTAAAAAAAAAAAATTATAAACATTTGGGACAACTATCCATCTGTTATGGACGGCCGTCCATACTTAAAAAAAATAAAAAAATAAAAAAATAAAAAAATAAAAAAATAAAAAAAATAAAAAATAAAAAATAAAAAATTCTAAACATGATACTGCTTCTTCTTCTTCCTTTCGGAAATGTTCCATTTTCTTTCTCTTGGAATAACGGCGCCATGCAGCTTGGATGAAGCATGCGACCCATGTCCTCCACTGTTATGAGTAGAACTTGAAGGTGTGCTGAACCTGTCTACTGTGAAGGCGCCTGAATCGAGTGGCCGCAAATTTTAACTCTTCAGCGACAGAACAAAAGCCTGAACCTCTCTCATAGCCTTCATCGTCCAGGTAGAGGATGGGAGGTTAATGCTAGATTTGGGTTCCAGTGCCCAGGTCAAAAGCTCCTCGCCATAGAAGTCTCCTTCTTTCAAAAAACAACACAAAGGAGAGAGCTTTAGGAGCTTCTGTTTCTGAGGCGCAAGTGAAGGCCAAGGAAGATAGCGCTTCCAATTCTAATGATGATAATAATAATAATAATAATAATAATAATAATGTATTCTTGCCTTAATCAGTATTGAGTATGGAGATGTACAGGTCCATATGCATATCTGCATGCATTTACTTAAAAGTCTGATTAGTTAAAAGTCGTGGGCAGTTATTAGATGATCAGAGAAGAAGAAGAAGAAGAAGAAGAGAAGCGTAATGGACGCCCGTCCAAACATAAGGGACGGGCGTCCATTCATAATGGACGCCCGTCCAAACGTAATGGACGCCCGTCCATAACAGATGGACAGTCGTCCCAAATGTTTATAAAAAATGTTTATTATATTTTATTTATGGACGCCCGTCCATGTGAGTGAACGGTTGTCCAAATTTGATGGACGGCTGTTCACTAGAAAAAAAATTATTAAAAAATTAGAGGTGTGTTACACGTAAGCCGGTACAAAATTTTGGTGCAGGTTTTTCGGTGTCCTTAGCTTTATTGTATTAATAACATTACCCCACTCAGTCTAAAGAATAAAGATTAGGCTCAGGGATAACCTAACTCAAACTCTAAGACACATTTAAGATTATACATGACAACATAGTATATGAAAAAAAAAAAAAAAAACTTTTAAAAATCTCAGAATTAATCCAATCTTTTAAGTTTTTCAATTTCATAATAATAAAAATTAATATGCCAACTATATTCTATTGGTTAGATTTTATTTGGATGTGGTTCTAGAATCAATATTATTTACGACCTTTTTCGTTTTGTTTCAAGTAAAATTGTGGCTCAGGCTGCCCACGCCACGCACAGAGAGAGACATTAATGGTCATGTTTGGCTCCTCCACCCTGACTCCTGGATGTGACCTGTGATGGTTCCATTTTTATACCCAAAAAAAGAAAATATGTAAAATAGTAATAAAAATCAATGTCAATATCATCTCACGATAAAAACAATGGTATGATTCTAGTTCTAGAACATCATCCATGACGTTTATGTAACCAACTATTCAATTTCTTTTCATCTCTCCTTTTGCTATATTTATTAAGTAATAGTAGGGTTATTTACCTACAGCCCCATGGGCTTCATACCCGCTATTTCACCATTACACGTAAACCCCCATTTTTTACATTCCTTCTAAATTTAATAATAAAATAAGAGTAAACGACATTTTCCCACCCAAGGTTTGGCATATCTGCAAGTTCCCACCCATGGTTTCATAAATTGTAGATTCTCACCCTTAAATTAACACCATTACTTTTCTCTCAAAATAACCCCTATATCTCAAATTTCTCTCAAATAACCCCCAAAGGAGATCCTGGCCAAGCCAAAAATCTGGCTTGATTTCGGTACTATTGGACCCCTAAACATCACCATCACCATCACCATCAGCATCCCCTATCCTCTTCACCAAAAACCCGAACTTTTCCATCGATTGCACCTCACAAGGTGTCGGAATTTAGTTGGAAAGGCACGACAAAACACAAAAACCTAAGGGAGAGGCTGCGGCGATCGGTCTGCGATGTTGAGGTTTTGATTTTTTTTTTTTTTTTTGGGGGGGGGGGGGGGGGGGGGGGGTAAGCAGGTGTTGCTATTGGTGGTGTTGGGGGTGGTTTTTTATATCGAGACCTGCCAAAATTTGGATGAAATGCCGACTAAAACTAAGAGCGGTGGCTGGCGATTGGGGGGTTCAATCAGGCGAAGAGGTTAGGGGGTTTTAATGTGAGGGTTGAGGGGATTGTAATGGTGGTATCAGGAGGGGTTGACTGTGTCGGCAACAAACCAGAATGACCTGAAATCGCCGGTGGGGTGAATTTGAGAACTCAAGGGTTATTTCAAAAAAAATTGGTGTGGTGAATGTGAGAAGTCAAGGGTTATTTTGAAATGACCATTTTATCCTTTTAACTATTGGATTTAACAGTTTTTTGTTAATTTAAAGGGTGAGAATCAACAATTGATGAAACTATGGGTGGGAACTTGGAGATTTGCCAAACCTTGGGTGGGAAAATATCGTTTACTCCCTATAAAATAATGAAATTAGCAGGTGCTCAAAAATTAGATCAAACCTATGGGGGTTTGTTGTGAATTACCGGTAATAATATAATGGGTAAATTTCATTTGCATCTCAAACGCCTTAATGACTTTTAGGAACTATAAAAATCTTAGGGGTGTTCAAAAGAAATGGTTGGAACTGGAATCGACGGGTACCCAGGGTTTAGTTTCGGTTTCTACCCGGAATCGCCTGTCAACGGATAGGTTCCGGTTCCAAATTTTTGAAACCGTTACTGTGCGGTTTTGGTTCCAAATTTTTGGAACCGTTACTGTGCAGTTTCGGTTTCAGCTCCTATAGTTAAGAACCAGAACCGGAACCGAAAACTGAGATTAATATAAAATAAAATTAAAGAGTAGGGGGGTTAATAAAAACTTTCGTAAAAAAACTAATGTGAATGCATTTATATATGTATTTCATAACATTTAAAGTAAGTTAGTTTGACTTTTGAGAATCTACCTTTACAAAGTAATAGAGTTTGTAATTTTAAATTTATAATTTGTAATTTTATTTTTATTAACAAGTGTCAGGTGGGGGGGTATTTGTAAGTTTTTAAAGGTTTTTTTACCATTTTAAAAATTTTGGGGGGGTCATGTAATTTTATAAGGTACCCAAAACCAGAACCGGAACCGTTGTTATAGGTTCCGGTTCTGGGTACCTAGGAACTGGAACCATCGGTTCTAGTTTTGGTTCCAAATTTCAAGGAACCGTCGGTTCCAGTTCTTTCAAAAAATGTAGGATACCCAGAACCGAACACCCCTAAAAAATCTTTCTATTAAGAGGTTCCTTTAAAGGTTTTTGATAATTTTATAGAAATATTTATTATTTCTCAAAGAAAGCCCCGGCTAAAGCATCCGCAGTGAAAAGAACAAGAAGGGACCGTGGAGAGATGGAAGATATTATGTTTAAGCTCTTTGAAAGGCAATCCAATTGGACTTTACGACAACTAATTCAAGAGACAGATCAACCTGAAGTATGTATTTTGATCGTTTGATTATACATAACTTTTAGATGCTGGCTTGAGTTTTTTATGCCATTTACTGTCATTTTAACTAAAAATAAACAAATAACTTTGCGGTATGCCAGCCATTTAAAATGAATCTTTATTTTTGTTTTTTCAGGATTTTGTTCTGACCTTTTATCTTTGCAGCAATTTCTGAAAGACATTCTCAAAGAACTTTGTGTTTACAACAACAAGGGGGATTAAGCCTCAACTGTGACGAATACAAGAAACACGGCGATGAATCAACTCCTAAATAGGTTCTTAGTATGCCTTTGCTTAATTACTTCGTTAAGTTATCGACTCAAGCTACTTTCTTGTCCATAAAATATGTTCTTTTATGTATTTTTCTGTAAACAGTATTCAGGTATATTTTTAAATGCAAAAGAGAAATTTTGAGATACAATTAATGAGTCTTTCTATTTTCTTAGCTTTAATTTTCAAACCCTCGTGGATGGAGGATATTCTTGTTCAAGATCTTTGTGTCCAAATTTTCCAATATATGGTTGAGTAATGCTACATTTACACCATTCATTACACCATTTTCATTACACCATGATATGACATATCCCACATCCACACAAATTTTTAATTATTTTTAATTATTTTGAATTTTTAATATTATAATAAAATAATTATTAGTAAAATGGTGATGATGTAATGAAAATGATGTAGTAGGTGATGTAAATGTAGTATTACTCTATATGGTTGAAGCAAAACTGTTGACATTTGGAATTTCTTTTATATCATGAATCCTAGTTCAGCACCATTATTTTTTATTTTATTTTATCTTATTTTTTGGTCGAGGGTGTCCGAGTCAACTTGACCAAACTCTAAAATTAACGATCGGGTAAATCTCTAATGGCCACCATTATTAGGGGTCGAGATGAATCAAATTCATAATTTCTTGAGTAATATACTCAAGAGTCTTAGTTGATTATTCGACCATCCAATGATGGTTTTAACACCATGCTTGTTTTTATAAATATATGCAGCACTTTTAATTATTTTAGTGGAGATTGTTGAGATTTAACTTAAAAATTAAAAATCTCACATCAATTATGAATTATAGGGCATATTAGGTAATAGAGAACAGAATCTTATCAATAACATTACCCCACTCATTCTAAAGAGTAAAGATTAGGTTCAGGGATAACCTAACCCAAACTCTATGACACATTTAAGATTATATATGACAACATAGTATATGAAAAAAAAAAAATACTTCAAAAATCGCAGAATTAATCCAATCTCTTAAATTTCATAATAATAAAAATTAATATGCCAAGTATATTCTATTGGTTAGATTTTTTGGATGTGGTTCTAGAATCAATTATGTACTACCTTTTTTGTTTTGTTTCAAGTAAAATTGTGGCTCAGGCTGCCCACGCCACGCGCAGAGAGAGACATTAATGGTCATGTTTGGCTCCTCCACCCTGAGTCCTGACCCACCCAAGTCGATGTGACCTGTGATGGTTCCATTTTTATACCCAAAAAAAGAAAATATGATAAGATAGTAATAAAAATCAATGTCAATATCATCTCACGATAAAAACAATGGTATGATTCTAGTTCTAGAACATCATCCATGACGTTTATGTAACCAACTATTCAATTTCTTTCATCTCTCCTTTTTTACTATATTTATTAAGTAATAATAGGGTTATTTATCCTACAGCCCCATAGGCTTGGCTGAGCACCCGCTAGTCTCATTATTACAGGTAAACCCCCATTTTTTACATTCTTTCTAAATTTAATAATAAAATAAGAGTAAACGACATTTTCCCACCCAAGGTTTGGCAAATCTGCAAGTCCACACCCATGATTTCATAAATTGTAGATTCTCACCCTTAAATTAACACCGTTACTTTTCTCTCAAAATAACTCCTAAATCTCAAATTTCTCTTAAATAAACCCCAGAGGAGATCCCGGCCAAGCCAAAAATCTGGCTTGATTCTTGCACCATTGGACCTCCCCAACACCACCATTAGCATCCTCTTATTCTCTTCACCAAAACCCCTTACTTTTCAACTCGATTGCACCTCGACAAGGTGTCGGAATTTAGTTGGAAAGGTGCAACAAAACACAAAAACATAAGGGAAAGGCTGCGACGATCGGTCTGCAATTGCGGTCAACGATGTTGGGAGTTTTGATTTTTTTTTTTTTGGGGGGGGGGGGGGGGGGGGGGGGGGGGGGGGGNAAAAAAAAAAACTTTGGAGATGCCCGTCCATGAATCGTCCCTTACATTTGGACGGTCGTCCATAATGAATGGACCCCCGTCCATTAACAATGCACATCACGATAAAATATTACATTTCCTTCTTCCGCCACGTTCCTCTCACTCACCTCCTTATATCACCATTACTCTTTGCTCCATCTCTCACAATCTTTTTCATATTTCTTTCCCATTTCGTGATCATCAACAGTTACAATCGTCCATCATGTCTGATCGTCCAAGGTCCATGAGCACCCAGGAGTTCTACGACAGAGCACCAACCTTATACCTGATGGTGAAGTTTTTGACGGCAGCCACAATAGGTGCATCACTGTTATTCTTAGCAGGTTTAACCATAACCGGGACAGTGATAACTCTGATTTTGGCTACTCCAGTACTAGTCCTGTTCAGTCCAATTCTGGTCCCTGCTGGGATAGTGACTTTCTTGGCTGCTGCTAGGTTCTTGTTCTCCGACGGGTGTGGCGTGACTGCGATAACGTTGTTATCGTGGGTATACGGTTACGTGATGGGAAAGCACCCGCCGGGAGCTGACCAGCTAGATTATGCTAGGATGAAGATAGCTGACAAGGATAGGGATATGAAGGAAAGGGCCAAGGAGTATGGACGGTGTTATCTGATAAAAGAGAAATTATGCAAGGTCAATGAATTTTTTTATGTGCTTAGCTCAGACTTCATTTGGGCAGTGCCCTAGACTTCAGTCCAAGTCCAAAGCGCCCTAAACAACATGGTACACAAAAGCAAGCACTAACTTACCTGCAAATCGCTTGACAAGTCCTTCACGTTGTCTTCTGAGAGCTTCTTTTCCTACAACAAAATGTTGAAGATAAGTAAATACTACTTAAAATGAAAAATAAAGGACGGGTACGGACGCCCATCCAAATATAAGTGGATGGCCGTCCCAAAGTTTTTTAATTTTATTTTCATATTTGGGTTAAGGATGGACCATCCAAATATAAGTGGATGGCCGTCCCCAAAGTTTTTTTAATTTTATTTTCATATTTGGGTTAAGGATGGACGTCCGTCCTTAACCCAAATATGAAAATAAAGTTAAGATTAATCTGGTTTGTAATAATGAGAATTAAGATTTGATTAAATTAAAATCTAAAATATCATTGATATTCAACTTTAAAGGTTAGAAGTTATCGGTAAATTTAATCCGAGTTCTATTTATAATTTAAAAAAAAAAAAAAATTAGATAAATGGATTTACAGAGATTGAGCTTAAATAAAGTTAATCAAGGAGTGGGGTTATTTAAGCCCCATCAACTTTCTTTCTAAGCCCTAGAAATAATTTTTTTATAAAATATATATTTTCAAACTAATAATTACCAAATAGGACATTTATTCATTTGTTACACCCCATATATCACAAAACTATTTTTCTCAATTCCCTAAACTCTTCAAATAATTTCTTTTTTTTTTTTTTTTTTTTTTTTTGCTTCGAAGTGTGTTTGGGTTAGTTGTCATGGTTGAAATTATTTTGAAGAGATGAAAATTGAACCGAACATGGAAATAAATAATAAGCTTGAATATTTGAGAGAGATGGAAATTGAACGAATGCAATATGTAATCGTTTATGAGAGCGTAAGGCTAGCTGATTATGCCTGAGATTTCTTACTTGGATTGAGAAAAACCAGAGAATTTTGCTTCTTGGTGGGTTAGATACGAAGTCAATGCAGATGGGATACAAAAGCAAAAGAGCAGCTCCTGGTAAATTATTACCACATTTGCAGGTCTGTCACAACTCGCAATGGCTTTATGCGTGCAGTCATGTCATCATTTGCATAATTCATAACTCTTCACATGAATCTGACTTTTCTTTATCCACACATGGGCATTTCGCGTATTAATCTTACAAAGTGTGGTCTTGCAAGTTACAACAGTCATTTTTCTTTTATTGTATTTTTATTTTAGGCGATTCAATATGTCTACACCATAAGAGATGGACATCTTGTCATTCATTTGTGATCACAATTTTCTCAGCAAGAGACAATTCAGAGAATAGCTGCTTCTCTTAATATTCTACAGCAAGAGACAATTCAGATAATAGCTGCATTCTCTTAATTATTCTAACTTTTCAATAATACATGCGTTGAATTTTCACAATGATGGGGCTCTTCCCATTACGTGAACCAAAACAACTAAACTAATAGACCCTTAAGTCCTAACCTTATTTTCTCCTCTCGCTGTCTGTCATTGAGTAAACCTTCACTTTCACAAGAATTTCCATTACTAATCTCATCAACCAACCACTGAATATTCATGTCCGACGAGCCCCCGACGGCCACTGCCTTCCTTGCTGCAACCTTCAATTCCGTTAAGTTCTTCTTGTACTCTTCTGATTTGGGTCCACTAATGATTTCCTTAATACATTTTCCCACTTCCTCTGTACTAACAATACCGTCACTGTTAGGCCTCATCCTTAGACCAATCTTAAAAACATCAGTTGCAAGCTTTGCATTCGTTGGCTGGTCGGTCCATTGAGGATATGCGATCACTGGCACGCCTGCACTATTGTCTCTGACATAGAATTCCACCCGCAATGAGTTATGAAACATGCAATAGCCGGATGGGCCACAAACTTTGGTTTGGGGACACCACAGATGCTATAAAGCCTTGGTCTTTCGTTTCTTCGACGAACCCATCTGGTAATTCTCCTGCACCGTCAGGTTTGTTGGAACTTCTGGTTGCTTGGCAACCCATAAGAACGGATGGTTACTATTCTTTAGAGCTGTTGCTATGACCTCCATTTGTTTTGCTGAAAAGACGATGATGCTACCGAATGATACGTAAATAACTGAAGAAACTGCCTGTTTGTTTAGCCATTCTAAGCAAGCATTTTCCGGTGTCCAGAGTTCAACACCGACATCGAATTTTTCATCTTCACCGAGTAGCGAAGTGGGGACCAGAGGACCAACGGGTCGGATTGGACAAAGCTCAGACATGGAGTCAATGACTTCTTTCTCTAACTCAAAGAATGAATTGGCTAATACCCAGTTGTGCTTCTTCATGTTTTGGAACAAGTCAGAGAATATTTTAAGGAGGCTACCGAACGGATTTGAAGGAAGAACAAATGAAGGCAGATCTTCTGTGGACAACAGTGGTAATCCGGGTAACTCAACACTTAAGTCAGGGTTCTCTAAGGTGGGAAAAGAGTTTAGTTTATTTAAAAAACGATAATAAATAGCAAAGAGTGAACATGGTTGGATCCAGAGCAAGGCACAAGGGACTTTATGCTTAACAGCAACATCAGCCGCCCATGGAACAAACGGATTGATGATGATGCAAGAGAGTTTCTTATGGTTATTATAGTAGTGTTCTTTGATAAGGTTTGAGAGGTTAACGGGTCCGACTTTTTCTAGAGTTTCAAAGTAGTGGTCTAAATTGGCTTTGCGGTCATAGTCTAAGTCGAACCCATCAGAGAAAAACAGAAGTTGGATATCAGAAATAGAATGGCTTGCGGTGCCTTTGCTGATGTTGTTGTTGTTGTTCTCGTCAGTGGTGGTGGTGAATTGTTTTAGCATGCGTTGTTTGGTGGTTTCGGTGCAGGCAAGTGTGACATGGAGGCCTTTGGAGACAAGGCGTTTGCCAAATCTAAGCAATGGATTAATGTGACCTTGAGCTGCGAATGCCACCATTAGCACATGATGATGAATGACTTGTTTGTCTTCCTTTAGAGCCATGAATGGTCAGACAAGCAAACTTCTCTGGAAAGACCAAGACGAGGCTACCAAAGAAAGATGAACGGAGGTGTTGAGGAGTATAATATGATAAGCCGAAATCACATGCCATATATATATATAGACAGTCACTCGGACTTGTGAGTCTTCAATGAGCTTTTCTCTAATTAGGATCACAATATATATATAACGTCTTGTTTTACTAAATAAAATCATTTGAAGGATTTCCCCATAAATTTTACTGACTGTTTAATCTAAACCATGAGATTTAATTTTTAAAATCATCCATCTAATAGTAAACTTATCATTTTAATAGCATAATTAGAGTTCAGATCTAATTCTTATTTGGTGGAATTACCTTTTTCTTTGTGGGCACGTATATGTTTGTCTTCAGTTGGAATGAACACGCGTTAAGACAAAGGAAATCTTATATATGGTGATATGTATAGATTCCTGCTTCACCTTGCGTATAAATGTCTAATACCAGGACGTCCAGTAGTTACCTCTAGAAGTAGATATTGAGACAATAAAAGAAAGAAAATAAGAACACAAATACATACTAAATCTACGTGAAAGTTCTATCTCCAGATTCTCCACCACAATAAATCGCTAAGAAAAAATACTAAGTTCTGTTGCTTTTATTCTAACCCAGTAACCAAAATTCTAAACCCTTTGGTCTTACTCTCTCAACTCAGTTCTACAATACATTTCTGTAAAGTCTATTTTCTCTAGTTTCACTCAACTCCCTCTATAAATGTTTCTCAAACCCTTTGGTGTATAACCATGCTTCTAAGCCTCCCTTGATATAAGATTTACACACTCCTATGTATATTTGAATTCACATATATACTATCCTAGTCCAATTATAACTTCGACCAAATCAAAACAAGAAAATTTAGCTGCCCGGCCATCCCAAGTTTCGATTTAAGAAAATGGCCTTGAAAATATTTTTCATTTTTTTTTTAATTTAGAGAAGATGACGTGGCATAGTTAGGATTAATTAAACACGTAAAATGGGTTAAAATTAAAAGATTAAAACATATGTGGGCTGAATCATAAATAATGAAAGTTTTTAAAATTTGAAATTTATCAAAGCAAGCCCCACCTATTCACCTCGCTTAATCGAAATTCATTAGGGCAAAAAGCGATTTCTTGAAACAAAGGGAGACATTGCGATTTTTTCCGATCGAACCTACAAATTTGCACCCTAAAATCAATTTCTTGAACCCTAAATAGAATACAGTCGCGATTTTCGATCGATTTCTTGAACCCTAAATGGAATATGTGCGATTTCTGGTGATACAGTCCATATTTTCGATCGAAACTGCAAACTTTGACACCAAATTCAATCCAAAACCATGGCTGACACTCACAATCAGGAGGAAAACCCAATGCCACTTCGAATCCTAGATTCCGATGGCGCAAGCAGTTCAATGGCTGCTCCGGTGGATCATCCGATCAGTGAAGGTGGTCCACAGGCAGAGGAGACGACGGCAGCACAACAACAGAGAGAAGAATCGGCAAACAGTTCTGAAGACGAAGAGTCAAGCGAGAATTCAGGCCAGGAGGAGTCGTCCGAGGATTCAGGCGACAAGGAGGAGGCCGGCGAAGAAAGGGTACGTATTTGTTTTAGGAATATTGCTTGTAACGTTGCTTAAGCGATCATTTGTATCGCTTAAGCGATTAATCTCTTTTACTCATGATCGCTTAAGCGATACAAAGGATCGCTTAAGCGATCTTAGATCTGGGCAGATGATGCGATTGATTCAGTTTACTCTTGGTCGCTTAAGTGATTTTAGATCGCTTAAGCGATCTTGTCGAGGCAGAATCACAGATATAAGATCGCTTAAGCGATCTTTTGTATTGCTTAAGAGATTCTTTCAGTTTACTCTTGGTCGCTTAAGTGATTTCAGATCGCTTAAGTGATCTTGCACGAGGCAGAGTCAAGATCTCTTAAGCGATCCGAAATCGCTTAAACGACTACAGTGGTAATTTTTTGTTGCTGATATTTT